TGATCAGAAATGCAAAGGGGGAGGCTTATATATATATATATATATATATATACATATTGCATCTTGGTTTGCGAAAATTGATATATTTTTCTCCAAAATTCATAACAAATATTAGTTTTAGTATTCTCTCTGTTTCAAATAAGGTGCAACATTTGCTTTTGGTGCGGGTTTTTAGGTGGGTCATATTAGGTAGGATAATTTAGAAATTAGGTGATGTGATGGAGAGAAAAATATATATTTTATTATTTTATTTGGATGATGCGAGGGGTAGAGATTATGTATAATTAATTATTTCCTATTTTGAAAATATTGCATGGTGTTGGGACATACCAAAAATGAAATGTTGCTGGGTGATTGAGACGGGGGGAGTACATATCAAGTTAAATTTTCAATAAAAAATTATTTGAACTAAATAAGGCAGCTAGCAAGCATATTCATCGTTCAAGGAATTGTTACGAGTAAATACTACACCATCATCGCCAGCAGATCTCCACTTCAATTGATATTTTTTCACGAAAAGATTCTAGGCATAATTTTTATGTTTGATGAACATATGCGTATACTTTGCACATATGACTGAATTTGTTTACAATTCTAATATATATATATAGTGCAAATTTTCTTTAAAGACAAATATTAATTTATTTAGGAAATCTAGAATCATTAAATTTGCTAACTTTTATACTTTATTTAACTTTTAGCCGTCACATTGAGGACAAAAAATGGCCAGAAATGCAAAAGGGCAGACTCGTATATATATACACATTGCACCTTGGTTTGCGAATGTTCGCATATTTTTTTCCAAAATTCATAACAAACATTAGTTATATTGTATATACAACTTAAACCGGAAATTTTCAACAAAAAAATGGTTTCAGACTAAATACAAGCAATCTTTATTACTTTTTCATCAGTTTTGGTTTATTTTACTATATATATATATCCTATCTCTTTTATCCTTCAAGGAATTGTAACGAATAAATACTACACCATCATCACCAGCAGATTCTAGGCATGATTTCTATGTTTGATGAGTATATGTGTGTACTCTGCACAAGAAAATATAAGAATTTTACCAGGAGTTTTACCTTATTTACACCACAGTCGATAATCTTTTACTCATGTTGCATACCCTAAAAATATGCATTTTACCGTCCTCGGCTCCAGCTTACCATCATTCACATGAGCGTATGCAGGGCATCCAAATATTCTTATATTAGAGTAATTAGAGGGTTTACCAGACCATACCTCTTGAGGTGTCTTTAAATCAATTGCAGTTAATGATGAAGATCTATTAACCAGATAGCTAGCAGTGTTAACTCATTCAGCCCAAAATTGTTTAGATAAGTCAGCAAATATGCGCATACACTTAGCACGCGTCGTGAGGGTTTGGTTCATACGTTCTGCAACCCCATTTTGTTGTGGTATGTGTCGTACGGTGCGGTGCCTCTCTTGCAGAAATTATCAAATAAAGCGTTGCAAAACTCCAATTCACTATCAGTTTTTAGAGTCTTGATCTGTTTACTGTCCGTTTTTCAACCATGATCTTCCACTCTTTGAATTTCTCAAACACCTCAATTTTAGTTTTCAGAAAGTATAACCAGACTTTTCTTAAATAATCATTTATGAAAGTGACAAAGTAAGAACAACCTCCCTGTGATTTCACCAGAGAGGGACCTCATAAATCTGAATGAAAATACTACATAATTTCTTTGGAAGTGTGATGATCGGTACTAAACCTCATCTTGAGTTGCTTCCCTTTTACACAAACCTCACAAAATTGAATTTTACATGTCACATCCCCACCAAGTAAACCCTACTTGCTCAGTACAGACAACCCTTGCTTACTCATGCGACCTAATCGACAGTGCCACAGATATGTCTTGTCATCATGTTTATCCAAGGACTGGGATACCGCCACCGTTCCCATCACTAAATTGCTCTGTAAAAAAGTAAATTTCATATTGCAGTTTTCCCTTCATCAACACCAGAGCACCTTTCAAGACTTTCACCCACTCACCTTCACCATGATATTTTAAATCATTCTTAGCTTATTTGTGGCTGACGTCGAATTTTTAAGTGTGATATATGTTTGTCTTTGTGTTTCTGAGTGTTCAAGCATGCGATAGAATTCTTTTGTAATAGTGTTCGCTATGTTTTACTTGGTGGTGTCATGAAATGTATAAACTTTGTGATTATTTTTAAGGTGGAATTCACATGTCATCTATTTTTGCGTTAAGTTATCCATTTTTTTGAATGAGCTGTTAGTTTCTGCAAGACTAATATTTGCTCATTAGTACAAAGTTTATTAACGTTTGTTATGAGTATAGGTGAATCTTCTCGGACAATCCTCATGTGACCCGACAAGGCCCAATGGGTCACTTGGTTGTAATGCATCTCTATGGGAGCAATCTTCGGTGAATGACATGACCAAATTGATAGAGAATGTTGAAATTTGGTCCAAACCCTGCCAGCAACCCAAACCTTTTAAACCCGGATCCGATCCGAAATACTTTTGACTCAGATCCGCTCTATATAAAAACCTTTCCTTGTTCTATCGATCATTCCCTGTATGCAATGTTCTAGGTTGAAGGTTTTTTCTCCTTCATCCGTTGTCAACCGCTCCTCTCTTCAACTCCCCTGGTAAGTCTCTTTCTTAGATAGTCTGACTGTTCCGAGGTTTTTTGGTGGGTAGATTAGAATTTAGGTTTTCGGTTGTTCGTCGATCCGTAGGTTTGGAATTTGTTTGGAGGTCGTTGAGTTAATTTCTAAGTAAAATCATTAGGTTGTAGATTAATCCTACAAAATAGCTTTCCCAGTCGTTCTTGTTGAGTCACCAGAAGTCGTTCAATTTTCGGAGTTACTGTTGTCCGCCGCCCTTGTCTGCTGGAAGGTGTCATCGAAGCAAAATTGAGCTCAACGTGTGGGAAGTCTCAAACTCAATTGAAACAGAGAGTGAGTGTTCAATTTAATCACCCTGTTTTCTTATACTTATATTATTTTTAAATTTTGTTAGTGACGGATAGTATAAAAAAGACTAAAATAATATATATCCTATAAAATACATATACCTTAAAAAATTTTGGCTACATAAAATTACATTAATACCCTTTATCCAATAATCTATTTTCTTTCTCACCATTTTCCAAAAAACTATATTAATATAATTATTTATTTTGTTATAAATATTTCATTCAACATTATTAACTTTATTAATTCTATTATATAACAATACAAGTAGAATTTATTTTATTATTATAGTACAATAAAATTAATGATAGAAACTTTTCTTAATTATTTTTTATTTTTAAAAAACTTATTTTATTATATGAAAAGTAAATCTTTGTTTTATTGGATAGATTCTTTTCGGTCATTAAGTTTTTTTATTCACTATTATTGAAATAATACAAAATAAAAGTAATTAATACATATGAACATTCACTCTTATTTATTTATTTTACTCCTTCGTGACCGTATTATTGAAATAATAATCAATTAGCATAGTAAAAAAATAAAATACTTTACTATTTGTGTAAAGAATACTACTAATATATCTTGGAATGCAATTGTACTAATAATGATATAAGTTCTGTATTTTCTGAAATTAATTATACTCCCTTCGTCTTATTTATCATGCATACCTTTCTATTTTCATTAGTTCCACTTATTTTGTCATTTTGAAAAAAAAAATTATACACTTTAATCTTATTTTAAATATTTTACTTTTATTTTTTTTAATTTTAATTAAACTAATTAATTATTTAATCTTTATTTATAATTAATTATATTATACAATAATTATTTTTACTAATACATTTTTAATTATTTACTAATCATAACTCTCCTAAATTCTTGTGTCTATAATAAAGAAGACATAATAGCGGCGTAGCGCAACAAACGAGCTACTAGTGTATATATATATATATATATATTACAAATATTGTTAGTATTTTGTAAGAAAATATATAGAGGAGAACATATGATTAATATCAATTAAACACACTTTAGTAAAATAATCTACATTATCTAGACAACAATATGCGGAAATATCATTAATATCCAATTAGCAATTGATGTAAATAGAAGTAATATATATATTTATAATGGGATAAACAATTATAAATATTGAATATACGTGGAAAGGTGAATATATCCTAATGGCGAAGATCTTTGACCAGTTACAAGTTCCATTTTTTATTTGTTGTAATCCTTGGTATTCAATCCTCTCTTTAAAGAATAAAATAATGGTTAAAACGAAGGAAAATTAGACAAGCTTGATTTCAATAGTTCCAAAGTCTCTTAATACGAATGATATACATTAATTCGTTTTGTCCACTATCGTTTCAGAAACTCATTTCCTGTTTACGATTTACATAGTACCTTTGGTCACCTACAATACCTATATAATTCGTGTTTTCGGGTCCGTGTCGGTTGAGCCATAGGGTAACAAAAAAGCTGTCAATCCGAACCCGTCCCGAACTCAAAATTTGGCCTGAAACCCTAAACCCAAACACGACACGAATTCTTGCAAGTCGGGTTTAGGTTGACTAAGTTCACGTCACCCGAAATCCGAACAAATCGAACACGAATCCGACATGAAACAAACCAAAAAACTTTAAAAAAATTAAATTAACCTAAAAAATTCATTTTTATTTTAATTTTTTATATTATTTTAAATAAAATAATATAAATATTTTAAATTAAAATAATAATAATAATAAATAATTTCATGTCAATTCAAAACACAAAACCCGATTTTTGTATCTCAGGTTATCAGGTCAACCAAAAGACGTCCCGAACATGACACAAATTTTTTTCGTTTCGGGTTTGGATCGACCCGATTTTTTACAAACCCGGAATACTCAAACCCGAACCTGAAAAATTTCAGGTCGAACGGGTTTAATTTTTTGGGTCGGGTTTATTTTGACACCCTTACCTATCTATGTGTTTTGTTTTTATATTACCTATTATTGGTTTATTTTTAACTTGTAAATCCAATTTTGCGGGCAAGAATCATGTGTGGTCATCCTACATTGTACTTTCATAATATAGATTGACTAAACGTGGTTTAGTCCCTCCTTCCCCTAAAATAACATGAAGCCTCTTAAATTCTTACAAGTAATCAAGTAATACAAAAACCATGGACAAGAGAAGAAAATATACCACCATGTCCTCTAAATATTACCTCTAATTCATGAAGTTTTCTCGAGGATCACGCACCAATTTGATTTGTCGTAGAATTTGTCAACAATGACAGCACCATCCATACCGGACACTAACCTGCACCGTGTAATCGAAATAATGCATATAAGATTAAGTGGAAGACAATTTTCATTTCACTAAACATTAATGTGGTGTGATGTGATGTGATGTGCTACCTTTCTAGTTCACCTTCGCTGAAAACATGATAATATCTATCGTATACCACTGCACCTTTCTTGTCATCTTTCCTCGCAAAGCCACTTGCCACAGCATCAGCAGATGCGCCGCTTATTTCTGCACGATGGTAAGGTAAGTGCCATGGTACAAAATATTCTTGCTGGTTTTTACGAATACCTTCTTCACTCCTAGATTCATCTAAGGGATCATCACCATTCCTTGTTGCAGATCCTTCTTTCGACTGCTCTTCAGAAGAGTTCTCCTCCATCTCCGGGATGCTTTCCAAGGATATTGATGATGGGCTACGGATTCGAGGGCTGCCAGGTCCGATCCATTCTTCCAAGTACTTCTGTGTTAGAGGTGTCCATTTGTTAACCAATGATTTGTCCTCTTGTTCCCTAGCCCAAACTGTGATCAAAACAAGGCCCCCGGTTTTCACAACACGAATTAGTTCTTCTACTGCTTTCTTTCGCCGGCTTTCTGTGCTCAGGTGATGTAATACTGCAATAGATATTGATGCATCACCATAGCCGGTGCGGTAAGGAAGATTTACAGCATCAGCTACCAACACCTCATGCCCTTTGTCAGCACATATAGAAATAAGCGCAGAACTAATATCACATCCAACAAAATAGCAGTTTGGATTCAAACCCAAATATTTCCCATTCCCGCATCCGGCATCTAAGATAAGTGACCCTGTCGGCAAAGAGTTTAAGAATCCCTGGACTTTGGGCCACTTAGCAAACCGAGTAGAACTGAAGTGAGGAGCGATAGCATCATAAACATGATGGACATACTTCTTCTCTATTTCTGGTGTCGCCTGAACTTTGGAGGATAAACATACCGGACCACTCTTTGCCGTTATGGGAGGTAAAACTGGCAATTTTTCCTCAGGAGTAACAGAAGAACCCGAAGAAATATCAATTCCATCTTCTTTCATATTGCAAAAATCTCTCAAAAATTTAAAGGAAGCAATTGTAGCAGAGAAAGCCTGGATTTCTTCGATAGCAAATGTCCTTGGTCTTCTACCAATTAGAAACATCAGAGCATGCCATCGCAACTAGGCCTAATTCCGTATGCAAACATTTCCAAAATGTAACTCAGAACCCTATTGAGACTGCAACTAATAGTTGTTTGTTTATTTCTTTTCAATTTTTTTAACACATTTGAATAAGCAAGTCTTTCTAATTCCACAGAAGAGAACAACAATTATCACAAATGAAAATCAAAGCAAAATATGTAACCTGATTTAGCTATCATTTCTTAAACTTCAAATTTAATCAGTCCATATTGAACTATACGACCTATAGCTAATAATGGTGGAACTGAACCTGAGGCTGTAAAAAGATTATTCATTCCACTTCCTTGGGGATCGACATAAACAGAATCAAAGTAGCATTGCCAGGCATCTCCATGAAGAATTAACAAAATTATTGTTCATAAATCCAATCGACATTGACGAAACGCACAAGATATAGGTAAGCATAACAATTTAAATCTTCAATAAAAATAAAACCATCCCAATTTAGGGCTGCATTTCATAGTAATTCATTTCAATCTCCATTATTACACACCAAAAACAGCGAGATAGTGCATTGCAAATAGTTCAAATAAGTCTCCCATCGCTCTGACTCTCAACAACGCGCATATCCAACTGTTATATCTATTTAATGTTTTCTACAAAGCCCTAGGTTTCCAATCCTCTACTCATATATCAACTATCCCTACCTGTGAAACTCACAAAAAATAATTAAATAGCAAACAGAAAGATAAAGTGAAGCCATCTCTTTTGGCTTCAACGAAGCGGTAAGCACCAGAGTAACTCAACCTCCAAGCAAATGAAAAACGAAGCACATAGGATTCAACTTCCACAATAAACAACGATAAAATAGCTATTAAAACGATAAGCAATCAGAGAAAAACGAAAACTTACGATTTCAGTGAACGGACAAGAAGAGATCGGCGGCCGGCAGCTTCCGATCGGAATGGAGACGAGAAGAGGACTGGCGAGTGAGGTGATTTTGACCCGTAAGCGCAAGTCGGCCCATTTTGAATTACATGGGCCCCACCCAAATCAGATTTGGTCATTTTTTATAGGCCTCTTTTTTCGTCTTATTAATACCCCCATGAGGAATTTCTGAATAATAGTGACTTATATTCCCCATTCAAACTACTCGTTTGAATATTTGTAATATATTAAAAAATAATAAAATTTTATTAGTCAGTAAAAATGTGTAAAATTATTTTAATATTTCATCATTTATATTTTATATATGTAATAGTATATTTGTGATTGTATACACCCAAACAATTAATTGGGGCCGACTTTGTGTAGATGCAATTCAAGGACATTAATATATGGTCCAAAATAGCAGTCGGACCTTCTGACTCGTATAGTCTATTGTTCAAGGAGGTCCAGCTCGATTTGAAGCAGACCAACGGAGGCAAAAAAGTTAAAGAAGTTGTTAGAAAGTTATTGGAGTTGTTGGAAAAAAACGTGGGGATAAAAGTTTATCCAAATAATTCAAAAACAAAATAAATATCCAAGAGTAGAACCAGAGGAACACGTCATTCACCATGTGATCTTCTTCTTTTTCGTTATTTTCTCTGCAATTTTTCTATTCTTGTAATTTTTTCAGATTTTTACAGTTTTCTTCAATTAATTCAAATTTAATTTCTAGCTTTCGTTCTTGTTTTATCTTCTTCTTTCTTCGTCAAATTTTTCAGTTATCGCAAGATAGCCCGGATCCTTTCTTGAGGAGGCCGGGGAACCCTACAATTAAATCAATTCTGAAAGGCTTTTCCGATTAAGCCGTCAGTGGCAATTTTTTTACGATAACAGATTGGCACGTTCAGTGGGACACCGACGTCTCGTTACTTTTACATGCAACTTCGGAAGAAAATTGATGCCGCCGACGGCTGCAGATATGTTTAAAAACAAAGGAATCATCGTCGATTCGTCATCGTGCCCTGCGCAACATGTTGCCCCACGTGACGAGGCTTCCGCGGCTGCTGGAAGGCCCGACCAGATCATTAATCTTCCAGCCAACGTTTTTCAGGAGCAGATTTGTGAGGAAATTCGGTCATCCATTCACGGATCCACCCTGGATCTATCTCAGTACATTATCGACATTCTGAAACCCGCCACTCAGAACGAGTTTGCGATGCTTCTGGAGAAAGAAACTCGAAAAAGCAAGGCTTGGAAGGTCGATTCCAGCCATCCAGAGATTTGGCCTCCCGCAAGCCTTACAACCAGCTGCGCAGCAGATCTTACCTCCCAGCCACTTAAATATGGACATGTTACTCTGTTAGGTAGGGGTTTCGGATCTGGAGGACCTCTGATCACTATCTAGAAGGTTAGAGAATCTCAGGCGTCGGCCGGGCAGACCTCTTTTGGGCCGCCTCCAACCGTCAGATTTGGGATGACCTTCAGATCAGTTCCATTAATACCATATGAGCAAAATAATCCCCTATTTGCTGGAAATACTTTCAGTACCCTAGTCACCACTCTAGGCCTTCGAAGAAACCTAATGGCCGGATAAGAGACTTCCAATGCATGGAGGGCAGGTCCGACAACGATTCCAGCACCTTCCTTGGTCCCAAAGCCTTCTGAAATGACTTGGGAACTAAAGGGACCAGTCCCAACACCATCCTGATACACTGGGGGAGAGAGAGCTGTTGGGAAAGGTCGATTTGCTGCTGGTTCCGGGCTACAACAAACCTACGAATATCCTGCCCAACCAGCCCCCGAAAATACACTATTGCAACAGGTTCCAGTTCTTAGAGAACCTACGGAAGGCCCCCGAGTTCGTTTCTCACAACGGGGACCTACTCATTAAGCTTTTCCGCAACCGGCGTTACACAATCCACCGTCCATTCAGGCAGCTTCCGAACAGCTTGGGAGGCAGGCAGAGACGGTGCCGCTCCCACATCCCATCATAAATCCACAGATAATCAAAGATGCGATTCATAGGATATATGGCGATCGGAAAAGCAAGGATTCGGTCGAGCAGTTCTTGAAACAATTCAGGAGCGCAGAAACTAGGTGCCAAGTTCGTGTACCAGAGGACCAGGTGGTGAATATGGCAATAAATAACATGACGCACTAGCTGTGTGACAGCCTGGCTATTCAGGAATGTCACGACTTTTGGCAGTCGATGTCCAAAGCTGTGAAGGCCGAACAACCCTTCAAAGAAGCTCAAACGACCCGAAATCAAAAGTTTCGGAGTGGTAATCATTGCGTGTTTGCCCAAGAAGGGGTTGCCGACGTCGACGAGGAGCAAGAGGAGACCTTCTTGGCTGAAATTTTGCAGGGGAAGGCATATATACATGCCCGGCTCTTAAGCCACCTTGACGGAATGAGATGAATCTGAAGGTATCTTACTCATTTGACATCGCGAAGACGGAACAGATTTTTAACTGCTTGCTAAAAGACAACCAGCTCCGCCTTAAAGAAGGTCACAAAATGCCGGCCGAAGAGGAGGTGAATGGAAAATTATTTTGTATGTGGCATAGAGTATATGACCATCAGATCGGGAACTGTATTTCCTTCCGAAATGCGGTCCAGAAAGCCATCAAAGAATGCCGCCTCAAGCTGGCCGAAAAACCTGACATGGAAATAGACACGGAGCCGTTCCCCATGCTGACAAACGTTGTCGGAGTACGTCGAGCCAGGTCCAGAAAGACAAATTCGGGGTTTGGAGCAGATGATAGGAGAACAGACCTTCAAAAACCAGTGTTTGAAAGGCTTTGAAGGTCGATCACACCTCCGAGAAGAAGTTTGGTGTGGGACATACTTTCCCCCACGAATACAATCGCGGAAGTAAGCTTTGAAAAGGGAGGCGAGGTTTGGCGATTAACCTCCATAGATCAGGTGGTAATCACACCCCATCAGACCCGTCATCCTGGGAAGGCTTCAGACGACGGGAGCTGGACAAGGAACCGGAAGGAGTAGGTGATGCAACCTCCTACTAGGATTCAAAAAAGGAGGATGCAGCGACAACGCTTGGCCGCTATCCTTTCCCAAAAGAACCAGGTTGGGGTGCAGCAGGCTGATGACCACCAAAGTCAGGCCGGAGGGCAATAGGCCCAGGGCTCAGAATGAGCTGTTGCTGAAAGGCCAAAGCTTGATCGGAAGGACCTTCGTCACCAGCTTTAGGCCCAAAAGAAATGAAGACCAAAAGGAGTTCTTGCAAGGGTTGAACACCCTAATGAACCTTACTTTACTGTGACACTCGGGGAATACCAGATTCAAAAAGATAAGCCGATGATCGGTGCCCTTGATTGCAATGAGGCGATGGAGGCTAGCTTGGACATTATTGCCTCCGACCTCAAACGAGTTTCGTGCTGTGAAGGAGATCTCAAGGTCAACATAGTAGGGGTGCTACATCAGGAATACGAAGCCCCTCATGTCCAACCCGATTATCTTCAGAGGGATGTGATGTTGGAAGGAGCTGGTCCATTATATTGGGTAAAGCATGATTCCGACATTCCGAAAGAAAGTCCGGAACCAGTAAATTTTCAGAAGTTGGCGGACGAAAATACGCGCCACTTGGAACCCTTATTCCTCATAGTACATTTTGATGGGCGGACGATCAGCAAGGTCCTAGTCGATCGAGGAGCTTCCGCCAACGTTATGACATTGTCCACTCTAAGAAAAATCAATAAAAACATAAAAGATCTCGTCCCGAAAACCATGCAAATGACCGACTTCACCAGAAATGCGCATACGGCAGCATGCGTGTTGGTGGAGAAATCGACGGTCGGAACAAGGGCGGACCAGATGGCTTTCTTCGTCAGTGAAGGAAAACCAACTTATTCAGCCATTCTCGGGAGGGATTTGATCCACACTACCCAGTGCGTCCCTTCAACATTGCACCAAAAAGTTATATTTTGGAACAGAGACCAAATCGAGACGGTAGAGGCCGAAGCTGATCCAGCTATAGAGGTGCATTCCGAGAGGTTGTTTATTATTCCCTCTATGTACACCCGATGTCCATGATACTGAAGGACGTTGGAATGAGGAAAAAATGCAATCTAACCATGAAGGGGTTTAAAATCGAAGTCGAGGCCGACGCACCGCCTAATAACTCAGGTATTTATCATGTCTGACATCCTGATTTTACAGGATTTGGAGGCAAAAACAGGCAGGTCCGAAAAGGGTGTTCCTTCACCGATTCGAAGAGCTGCTCCACCTTTCGAAGCGCAGGACCCGTTGGAGAAGATTAACCTGGGGGATGAGGCAACCTCTCGGATGATGCAGATCAGCGTCTGGCTGAATGTCGAGAAGAAGGAGCAGGGCTTGCCCCAAGAGCTTGATGCCCTGCCCGAAGAGAGACTGCAGGCACTCTAACGCACTCGACATCAAAAGAAGAAGGCCGAATCGACTTTCCAGAAGCGTGTGAGGTCTCAGACTTTTCAGAAAGGTGACATGGTCTGGATGGCCCCAAAGATGCGAAGTTAGGGAGATGGTCTCCCACATGGGAAGGACTATTTATTGTATTAGCCAAGTCATCCAATGACGTGTATAGGTGGAAAACATCTAAAAAGATTTTATCCTTCTCTTTGAGAGCTGAAAGGAAGGCATGGTCAGCTGTTCGTCGAATGCGATCTTGCGGAAAGAGGAAAAACAGATGGACAAGCCGAGTAACTTTTAACAAAATTATCCAGATTACAAGTTAACTTTTGTCGGGATAATTTAGTGGGGGGCATTTGTATGCACCCAAACAATTAATTGGGGCCGACTCAGCGTAGGTGCAGTCCAAGGACATTCGCGGCCCAACATACGACGCAAAGTAACAGTCGGACCTTCTGACCTGTCTAGCCCATCGTTCAAGGATGTCCAACTCGACTTGAAGCAGTCCAACGGATACAAGAAGGTCAAAGAAATGGTTAGAAAGTTGTTGGAGTTGTTGGAAAAAACGTGGGGATGAAGGTTTATCCAAATAATTCAAAAACAAAATAAATATCCAAGAGTAGAACTAAAGGGACATGTCATTCACCATGTGATCTTCTTCTTCTTCTTCATTATTTTCTCTGCAATTTTTTCATTTTTGTAATTTTTCCGGATTTTTACAGTTTTCTTCAATTAATTCTAATTTAAT